AGCCGGATACATTCTTTATTGAATTCTATAACTTCAAGCTCACTCTAGAAGGCTTGCTTACTCTCCTGAGTTCTGGAGGATTTTCTAGAGTCTGCGCGATGTAAAATTCAGCGTCCAAAAAATTGTCCAGAGAATTGTTGTTTCACTAAAAGTGAGAAGAATGAGAGAATTAGTAACGACGAACGATGGCGCAATGGTAGAGCAATCGACCTAGCAAATCAGTAGTGTTTGTATCAAGTGTTTCATTTTCAGACTAGGCGTATTAAACATATTCACATATTTCATCAAACACTATGAATAAAAAGGTATTAATTCAGAATAATTTAATGAGATGGCTAGCGTTAATATTATCAATGTCAACGTGTATTATTATCTGGCGATATTTAGCTATTCTAATACTTGCTGTTTGGTTGTCAACAATTTGTCGACCCTTATTAGAACTTTTGGTTAATCATTTACCATTGGTTAATCGTTGTCGTGAAAAACGATCTCGTTCAGCAGTAGCTGCTACATTAATAGTTTTCGTTGTTCTTCTATTAATCATACCAATTATTGTATTATGTATTGTATTAAGTAGCTCAACAATGGATTTAGTTAAAAATCTCTCAAATTCAACAACTGTTCGTAGTGCTATTAATTTAATTGTACCACCGAATGAACAAAAATCGAATACATCATTATTAGATTTTACAAAGAAAACAACAAATACAACAACATTTATTCAACGTCTGTTATTAGAAAAAGAAACGATTACAGATTTTCTACAATTATTTGGTATTAAAGCATTGAGTATTTTATCAACTCTGGCAGGTGCAATAGCACAATTTGTTATTGGAATATTAATTTTTCTTGTTTCAACATATACATTTCTATTACACGGTGTTGATTTGTGGGAATGGATTATTCATCATAGTCCATTATCAATGAAACATATGAACCGTTTAAAACAAGCATTTCATGAAACTGGTCGAGGTCTATTAATTGGTGTATTTCTCACATGTCTCGCACAAGGTGTTGTCGCAGCAATTACTTATCTTTGTTTACGTATTTCACGTTGGTATGCTTTAGGACTATTAACAGGACTTTGTTCACTGATACCTATTGTAGGAACAGGACTCGTTTGGATTCCAATAACCATTGGACTATTTTTACAAGCACAATATACTCGAGGTACAATTCTCATTGTTGTAGGTATTTTGGGTATCGGATCTATTGATAATCTTCTTCGACCATTATTTTCAAAAATGGGTTCATTACAAATGTCAACATTGGTTTTACTTCTGACAATTTTTGGAGGATTAGAACTTTTGGGTCCATGGGGTGCTCTTCTTGGACCGTTAATTGTACGACTGGCAACAGAAACATTGGTGCTTGTGCGTGAAGATGAGGATGAACAAGAACAATCAATTGAAAACTAAACTATTGTTTTATTTCTAACTGTTATGACTACTTTTGTAAATATATGTTTTTATTTGTTCTCCATTACTTTTACTTTGAATCATATTTTTCCTAAAATATAAATTTTATTCCAAAAACTTTATGATGCTACTTAGAGTAGTCCAAAAGTAGTGATGGAGGTACTTTATTTCCGCATAGAAAGCTTGAGAAAACTTCAATCTATTTCCAAAAGATGTGCAATTTAATTCTCTACAAAATTGATGTTGACTATATTTTGAAGTAAAGAAATTCTAAATTTCTATAGGTCAAACACGTCAATGGAATCAAGTTCAACCAGTTCCCACTGAATTTTCGAATTATTTTGCGACTTTTTTTCAAAAAAAATGTGGAAGGGGCCCTTTCCGGACCTTAGAAAAATTCTTGGCTGCTGTACACGAAAATATAGAGACACAAAGCCTAAGTAAAATAGAGAAATTAGCCCGATATCTATCGGTGTTTTTGCACAGTGATTGATATTGGAAAAGTTTAACTGTATGGTTTTTCCTCTCCGGAAAATGGCTCTATGATGTGACCGAAACGTCAAGTTGAATATATAATAATGAAGAATAAATCGTTATTCTGTAAAAATATGGCTGCTTCTCTTAAATACTTCTGCTGTTTAATTTGTTTATTAGCTCTAACACCATTTAAAAATTTAAAAATGAACTCGAATTCATTTAAGCAACAGGATACTCCATACAAATTCGCCCACCATTACATGACCTCGCAGCTGTGAAGAGTTCAATATCGGCATCGTGTGCATATTCGGACAATCTAGGATACAGAAGGAGTAATAATATTTAACTTAAAATTCAAACGAAGATCTAGCATTTATTACTTCATATCGAGCGACTTCTTCGTCAAGATGTTTGAAATTGATTATTTCTGATCTTTTTGTAAATATTGCTTCAGCTTTCGTTATATAATCATCAATAATCAAATGTTTAACAAACTTATATTCTTCTTGTTTCAATTTGATCAGAAATTGTTCAGTCAACTTTTTATGTTACTATGTAAACAAACAAATCTGACTATCTTAAAATAAAAGATTTACTTGGGCATAAACGATTCAAAATACCTGATTATGAACAAGTAAACCTATGCGTAGTTTTGGATAATTGATTTTCATGACTTTTTCCAAATATTCTCGTGAACAATGATGTTGGATATACAATAAATATTGCTATATAAATAACAGGCCATTTTGTTATCTTAAAATAATTAATTCTCTCAAATTTGAAGATAAGACTTTACCGAGCATTATACATACCTCACCGGAGGATGCAACGTCAAATAGATTGTCTTTGCATTGTAAACAACCAGATATTGGCAACCATACTCAAGTCAAATAATTACTTAAATAATTCAGACTACGCTAGGATAGACAAAATTATACTTTGATTAGAAAAACTATATATATATATATATATATATACACTTGGCGATCGCTCCGTCGACACATTAGCACATACAACAATAAAACCACAAATAAGTAATATTTTATTATTGTATGTGCTAATGTGTCGACGGGGCGATCGCCAAGTATATATATATAATTTTTCTAATCAAAATATAATTTTATCTATTCTAAGATCCTCAAAAATCCTTCGGTGTCGGGCTGAAGCTAAAAACGCTCTGATCGCATTATCGGATAGAACGTGCAATGGACTACATAGGTTGAAAAATCCGTTTTTCATCACGTGTCTTGGTGGACAAAGAGTATTTTTATTTTTGTTCTTCATTTTTTGGATGCTGAATTTTACATTGAGCGGACTGTAGAAAACCATCCAGAACTTAGGAAAGCCAAAGTCCTCCAAGAGTCAAAATCTGGATGGATAGATTTTCACACATGCTGAACAAGTTAGGACCAGTTAGCAGCAAATCTGAAAGATCGGTTGAGCATGACTTGTTGTTTCTCTCATTCTTCTCACTTTTAATGAAACAACAATTCTCTGGACAATTCTTTGGACGCTGAATTTTACATCGCGCAGACTCTAGAAAATCCTCCAGAACTCAGGAGAGTAAGCAAGCCTTCTAGAGTGAGCTTGAAGTTATAGAATTCAATAAAGAATGTATCCGGCTATATTTTGATAAAAAGAAATATTCAAATAGTGGCTAACCTGTTGTTGAAATTAAAATTTTAAAACTGAACATCGTTAAAATTTAAAAAACAAAATTTTTCACACTTAGTGGTCAATGATTGTTTTTTTGGTGCAAAATATCATTCAAAAGAGTGTTGACAAGTAATCAAAACAACGTTATTGTTGCTAGAATGCTAGAAACATATTTACTAGTTGTTTTAAACAAATTTCGATTTTCAAGAGTCGCATTAATTTCAGTAATTCGAAAGTATCGACTATAAATTTACAGTATAGAATTCTTGAAACCAATGATTCTTGTAGAGCACAAATTTTTGTTCAAAATGAGATTTCCGTGAACTTTAGATAGTCAAATCTATAGAAATCGGTGGGGTATCTTTATTTTGACTACGCAAATTATGCGTTTGTGTCTAGGTAGTGTGTTGAGTAAAAGATGCAGGTAGATGGTAAATGGTTTTGTCTCGGAGTATTTTAACAAACAAAAGAAGACGATTCTACCAGATTTTGTTAATATCATATTTGAAGCGTACACGTTCACTAAAATGTATACGAAGATAATGTGAAGTATATAGCAGTATCGTTCATTGATCGGTATTGATATTGTTCGACATAGAATAAAAAATAATAGCACCTGATCGTAAACATCCATTATACCCATTTTATGAAGAAAGAATAGAAAAAGAGAGAGAGAGAAATCTATAAAACGACAAAAACATGTAATAGGAAATGCAGGCTCAATTTATAGACTGGCCAACGGAGAGAGACTTCCAGTTTTGATACATATATGATTCCGCACTACGAGCTCAAAAAAAGAACCACCGTGAATGTTTCTAAACTTAAGCACCCAGGTCAGAAAATCAGACCAAGATCTTACACGATCTTATAAAATCTTATACGGAAAATCATAGGAACGGATTCATCTTAACAGATCTTATAAAAATCACACAAGAACCTTACAAACTCTGATGGAAGCTTACATCAAGAATCAGTTTCTATGTTTCTTACAGAATCTTACAAATTCTTATACGAATCTTACGAAATCAGACGGAATCGTACAAGAATATTATAAGATGTCACAGTAAGATTCTTTGACCTGGGCAGCTATAGCCGGTTAAGTTCAGTTAGGTTCAATTGACAAACGTTCAAATGGCGTGCACATATGACAGCACATGTAATAAAGAAATGAAGTGAGTGTATTTCACGTCAAAAGATCGAATTCGGAGTATAATCAGTTCTATGTAAGAAAAAGTATTGAAGAAAAATTTGTAACACTATACCTTTTTGTTTCTTTTTAGTGGAGATTTTAAATTAATCAAACCAGAAGCTGGAACTGATACAAAAATGAATGATGGTGCAGAAAATCCAGTGACAACGAAACAGCAGCCATCAGCTAGTGATGCTGAACAAACAGAAGAAGGTATGAGACTTATGAGCGAAATAAATGTTTATATCTCTTTACCATAGAGAAGTTATTCACTACGTAGGTCACTTTTTAGAAACGTAGTAAAACTGAGACAAATGTAGCTTTATATGTCCAACTACTTGTATACTAATTGGGTTAACATTTGGTCCCATTTAGGAAGCTACGTGAGAATAAGATTGTAGGAAAAATGCGAATTTCAGACACTTTCTTTCAAACTTCATATTCATCAGACTAAATACGGCATTTCTTACAACACAAATTTCCTGATGGTACTGATCATTTAAAAATTTCAAGAGTATTTAAGAGAAGCAGCCCTAATTGTACAAAATAACGATTTATTCTTTAATATATATTAAACTCGACGTTTCGGTCTCATCATAGAGTCATTTTCAAGAGAAAAAAACCTTACAGTTAAACTTTGAATGTACGCATGAAAGAAATACACGAAGAAATTATTTCTAAATAACAATAAAAAGCCCATTCCGTACGGCTCTTATGCGATAAACAAACCATCTTAGCCTGTGTGCTTAGTATAATGAAAGATCTTTCAAAATCAAACCAAACCACTTGAAACTTTCGTAATAGCAGTATACTTGTGCCTTATAGATGTAAGTAGTTCCAATTAATATAAAGGTAGTTGCAAATTGGAACGTATAAAGCTACACTGGTCTCATGTTTACTACGTTTCCAAAAAGTGACTATACTTTTTAATTAATGAGTAATCAACAATCGCAATTTGAAATATTCATCTATAAATTGATCACTTTTCAGAAACCTATACAAAAGTTACTGACCAACTCCGAGAGCAAAATGACTAATTTTGAATAATAATCAGTAAAACACATAGCCTCATGATTATTTGCGGTATGTTTATACCAGTAGGAAAACCCGGACTACAAAAGCCCTTATTTCTTCCCTCACTGAAATCATGAAGATTCTAAGCTTTTCTGATGGAGTGCCAAGTTACTCATTAAATGATTCCGATTATACAATAAATCACCCTTATCACCATTTCGATTATTACCATATTGAGGGCATCTTTATCAACTACGTTCATGTCTAACCATCATTAGTTCAGTTCACTTTAGTTTATTCTAGCATAGCCATGTATAAACAAAAAACATTGCTACTACAAAAGTTTGTGTTTGACTAAAAATCTAGACAGATAACTTTGTGGAGATGCCCACATTATAACTTATCTCATTGTGTAATCGAAAGAGAGCATCAACAAATACAATGAACTGTACAGTATCTAATGGTTTGTTATATCTTTGTTTATATTTTTCACTTAGTGAATC